CCTTGAACTTTAACAAGTAGGAACATATCCGAGTGACATTTGATTATTTACTTTAATTAAATTAATTAAAAAGTAACGCAATTACATTTAATTGTTTTTGTAGGATTTTATACAAGAATAAGTTTGTTTAGAGGCAGTTTATTTAATCATAAGAGCAACCGTGACCTCAGGAAGGGTTACCTATGCCGCATAGGTAGTGTGACAGTGTCCTTAAAATTCTTATTACAAACTTGTAACGAATTCCAAACGCGTGTTTACAAAACTGGTTCATTCGAGCATGCTTCAATTTTACCTAATATGTTGAATAATAATTGCAGAATTGAATGTGATCAAAGTGCAACGTATAGGCAGTCACAGTTCGAAAGAATATGATCGACCTTCTTAAATCGCTCTCCTGCAAGGTACAATCAGGCTTTTTGATCCCCCGACAAATAATCCCTGATAAAACATCCCTAAAACAAAATATGAATTATTTTCATAATAAATACGTTATATTTTATTCAATAAAGTTACGAATTTTCTCTTAATTTGTTGCAGTTTTATATTGAAATATTTCGGATATTTTCTCTGAGTTTTTTGTCTTAGGGATCAGATATCATGGAACCGCCCTGGAACGTAAGACATAGGGAATTACAAAAAGTAATTATGCCTCAATGACTTTGTGACAGAATTAAGGGATAATAATTAGGAACAAAATTTGACGGTTATTTTATTTTCTCTGCTTGAAACTTTAAACATCGCCTTACATATGTAAGACTTGCTGGAATTATTTTAAATTTTTGCGAAAAAAATATGGCATTCTTTCTCCAGCCGAGGACCTAACTGCGATTTATTACCCCGGGGTGATGAAATCACTGGAAAATATCGTACTTTGGAAGGAATTATTGAAAAATACAGCATAATCAGATTTCAGATTTCCGTGAAATTTGCATTAGTAATAAGGAATTCCTGATAATTCATACATGTTATATAGAAAAGTTATCGTCACTGTTGCTTGAATTACTTTTTGTTCAACGATTGTACAAAAATGCTTTATCATCTTGACATAGATGCCTATGTGGTTTTTGAAATAAATAATAAAAGGTCTTCTATAAAATTAAAAAAAAAATGGGATGGAATGGGATATTGGATGGGATAGGACGGGTAAAGCGTAACCATTAAAAAGAAACATAATTCGTTGCTACTTTAACACGCGAAAGAAAAAACAAAAGCAAAACGTTTAATAACGTTCTTAAATTGTCAATTTATATTCCGATGCATGGAAATTAAATTAAATCCGCGGTCAGATTTCATTTTAAATGGACATCTTTCGTCAAAGATTGCAAATTAGATGGGCATAAGGTAAATGAGAATCTTTGAAAAACCCATAAACTTCCTATACAAAGTGAGTCTCAGTGTTTACGTGTGGCATTGGTATTTCGACTTCGAAAGAAGAATTTTTTGTTTTGTTCTTTTAAGAAGGTGCATTATCTACCTTGGCATGGGTTAAAAAGTTTTGTTTGTTTTGTAAAGAACAACCATCGTGGTTAACGAAAATTATATCTTATGGTTATTTCTCTGCCATGACGATGGTATGCACCTTACCACGTATTTATATTTAATATTATCGTCGTGGGACATGTTTGAAATTATTATAATTATCGGTCCATCAATTTAACATAAATTTCCTCAATTATTGTCAACGTTCGAAATCAAAAAATAATTAAAGTTGTGTTTCGTCGTGTCGAAAACAGCACAAGTACATAAAGAATTTAATTTTAATTACTTACGTATAAAGTTGATAAATGATTACAACTGGTTTTTCAAAGTACAGTTCCTAAAAAATTATAATATTACCTAATGTTTGACATAGGCATTTAAAACACAGTTAATTATTGTATTTTTACCTCAAGGCATATTTAAAAAAAATATTAATTAACGTCTACACTACAACTTCTTTTATTTTACCTAATAGATTGGCATTATCTATTATCGAATAGGAACTAAAGTTAAGATCGATATTTATGACATCCTGGACCATGGTAGCGATTGCATATGTAATTTCGTAAATTTTAGTGTTGGGTAACCGTCATATGATTCACCAACATATTGACATTGTAACGTATCTATTTAAACTTGACATCCTTGCCCTCTGCTTTAGGATTTTCTCCTGATGTGGATATTGCATGTGTCTGGAAGTATTATTTAATTTCAACATTTTTTTTTTCAATAAATAACACAATTATGCATTATTCTACAAAGACATTACATGAAAGAACTAGCCGAACCCGTTCAAATTTAACACTTACGTTATAACTTCGACGTCATTTTCATGACGTTTATTATGCAGACATTTAGATCCGCCCAATTTTTTTCTTTTGTTTATTTCCAGTTGAAGTACCAATGTCATAATTGAAGATTCTGACTAAACAAAAGCGCTGTTCAATTTTTTTCGTTGTTGTAAAAATTATAAACAGCAAACAGTCGATTTTGACTTGATATGAGATATTTATCTATTACCTAGCTAGATACTGTTTAGGTTAGATTGAGTTATGTTAAGATAATAATTTCAAAACCCGTTTCCATTTTTTACTTTGGTTAATTTAGAATATTTTGTTAGATTAGGTAAGTTTTTTTGGTTATTGAACTTGAGATACCTAATTATAAATAGTTTAGTATTCTAACTGATAAGAATATCAAATCATAACTGAATTTTTTACTTTTTTTCTATTAGATGTTTTATCTGTAACTGTATCGCAGTTTATTATTATAATTGTTTTTATTAATAATATTGTAAGTGATTGGATAAAAAAAAACATATTTTTTGGGTAACGTATAAATGAAAACACAACCGCAGATACAACGTTACTTGCGGTTATTTACATCGGTTCTTATCTCCTGTAGACATTTTTCATCACTAATTTACTTTTTACAATCACTAAAATTATTGCCGTTTAAACTGTCGTCTGAGTTCACAATAAATAAAGTGCAGTAGCCTTTTCTGAAATTAACATTATAATTGTATTGTTAGGGAACCATTTTATGTGAGTCACACTATATTTCGTTATCATTGCTATGAAACGGGCATAATTAACCAATACAACCTTTCTTTTTTTTTTAATATGAATATAATTGAAATTAAAGATTTAGTCAAAGTCACGTAAGCAATCTTTTAAACAAAGAAATTGTTTTAGGGGTAGAAAATACCATTTTTAAAAAAATGCCTATAGTATTGACAAAAGAATATTGTATAAAAACAAATGAAAGTAAGACAAAAATACCGGTATAAAAAAACTAACATTAAAATATAAAATAAGCATATATTTTTGTTCTTTGATACTTTGGTATTGTATTTAGATTGGCCCTGTAGGTTTACTGTTTATATTTGCACCCCCGTTGAATTCTCATGTGGGTTCGACTGCCCGTAAACAACAACATTACGTTATAGATCGATAGGTATAAGCACGGTAATAACAAAAGAGTAATTATCGATTACATTTACAGGTAACATTATCTTAGGCGCCATCAGAAGTGTTACACAAGGAGCTTTGTTGTTATATTAGATCCATATATATTTATAAAATCCTTATCCGACTAGATCACGGATGGCTTTAAGATCAATAAAACACTGTCGGCTGACATAAATCGATATATTACTAGAAGAGCTCGTGCATTTGTAAGTAATCTTCTTTGGAACTTGGAGATATTAACGATGGGTTAGGCAACGAAACTAATGCCGATCCGTTTAAAGTTCGATAATTTACGCGAATTTTGTGCAGCGATTGATTGTAATGAACAGTAATCATCACTCTAAGTTGTAAATAAAAGTGGTTTATAATCGCAAACTTGTATTAAAGAAATAACAAATGCGTGCAAAACTTTACTAGAAACAAATGAAGATTTTCTAGCACAGTACAGTATGTGTTTTAAATTCATTTGTTCATATCACAAACAATTGCTCTTTCTCATCTTTTGTTTCGTGTTGAGGGTTTTATTTTGTTTGTAATATTAAAATCGTTTTATTTGAGGACTAAAATACGTAATTTTTTTATTGAGAGAGTTAAATTGGGTTATGGAAAAACGAAACTTGACGTGTTTTATTATTCGAGATACATACAGGATAATCCAAAAATTATAATCTACAAGGATTGCTTAAGTATGTACCAAGATGTCAAGGCATCTCAATATAAGCACATAAAGCCCGTGGTACTAATAACGCCTTATGGTTGAGTATTTAACAAGAGGTTTTTCACGCTCCTGACGATTGGCAGAGGTAACACGGTATATGGGCTCCCGTTGAGATATTTCAGGACATCGGAATTTCGATGCGTCGTTGTTTCCTGGCGCCGACGATTTTGTTACGGCTCTAAATCTTACGGGAACGAGTTTTGCAATTTTGTACGACCTGACGGGCAATAATCTGCTCGAAATACCGAATAAATTTCGCGAATCTCGAGGACTTGACGCCACAAAAAAAATCACTACTTCATACTAAAGGACAACATTCTCTGTAGTCGTTTAATGTGACTTTTTGAAGAAGAGCTAATTTCGAAATGTCTTATCCGAAAATTAAACTGTCGAGCAGAATTTTTAATGACTTCATATATTTACAGGGTGATCGTTGAAGATATCGAATCCGCAAGTAATTCATCTGATAAACATTTGATTGAGCGATAGTCTATTGTTAAAGCGTTGAAAACAAACAGATGAATGCTCTTTGCATCTTTGTTTCCAGTAGGTAACAATTGCCGACAGATCTCAGGAACAAATGATACGAGTTCATTTTGTTGTAAATTGAGCTACAGTTTTTTGCAGTAGGTAGTAGATATAAATAAAAAATAATTGCCTATGGGAAACAATTATTATTTATATCCATCATCTATGGAAGAACCCAAAAATCGGTAAAGTCAAAGGCGTCATCCTGTCCAGCAACTGCTGACGTCACATTGGTAGTCACCACACTCCACCGGCCTTTTCTGTCCTTTATAAACAACGAAATCCGTTCGTTGTTGCCTCAAAGGATTTTCCTCCACGGTGAGCATCTTTCTATATCCTCATCATCTCTTTGCGCGTTCGTTAGTTAACAGTTAAACATCTAACATCGGTAAACAAATAATTTTGTTAATAACGATCAAAAAACAAAAGCGTGGATCGGCTCTTTTTTATTCATTTGTCGTTTATTGTTGTGGATGAAACAAGAGAAGGCTAAAAATAAGAATAAGAAGAGAGTAAACAGTTGATCTTGATTATTATTGAACGTCCTTATCGTTCGTAGGGGTCTTTGGATCATTAGTACCTAGATAGTGTTTTGTTGTTATTGTTGGTGGATAGAGAGGTTTCGATCGCGGCGCGGAAAACAGCGGCAGTGATTCGCGAGGCTCTTTGGTGAGCGGACGCGATTGATACGAGCGCGTGAGACGGACGTTGGCGATTGGTGCGCACAGGACGAGATGTTGTGAATTGCTGAGTTTCTGCAGAGATGCACGGCGTCCCTGGAAGCTTTTGGTTGCTGCTGCACTTCATCCTTGTAAGTACCCGTATCATCCATCGCCAGGATAATCGTCCTGTTACCAACAATAATAATTTAAAAAAAAAAAAAACGTCTACATTACGCATTCTTCTCTTTTTGTAAAATCTAATAATTTTTATTTGACGTGAATACCCAAAATCCTCGAAGTTTGGGTAAACTTGGAAATTCGATACTCGGAACTGACTTAATTATATCCCTTGTTTAAAAAACATAATAATTAAGTTGTATTTATTTGACTCGCCTTAACCTTGCTGCTGTTGCAGGAAATCTAATTAATTATCAATCGTTAATTGTACTAATTTTTTTTAAAAACAGTTCATAAAAATCTACTTAACGTTAAATGCATTTTAAAATATTTTAATTCCTAACGGTTGTTTTTAGTTTAATATCGTTTAAATTTGTCACAATTTTATAATAACAAAAGTGTGTTTGTTAAAAAATATGGTTGAATAAAAATCTTTTGTAGTTTCACAGTCCGTTTACCTATTTAGTTCACTAGGTACCTATAGACATTCTCTTGTTATAAAACTAGACAGTAACGTCCTTGAATGTATATGCATTTCAACGTGTTTCACGTTTAATAAATCAGAAAGCGGTAGGTCTAATACAAAAAGGTAAAATATTCAGTTATTGTAGGTGACAAAACCAAAGTACTTTATATTTATTATTTTATTATTATTCTCACTGCTGACAGCCGATTGAAAAATAATACCCATTAGACAGACTACTACACACTTAATCTCCCTTAAAAAAGCTTGTCGCGCGACTACTGTTGATTTATAACAACAATTCGTTTGTTCTGCTATTTTCGCTTGTTAAACAGCTACCTGCCGATCTGTTTTGCGCTGTTTTGTTTTGTATAAAATGCCGTTTCAATTGTTGAACATAACGTTACAGAAACAAATGACTTATTAGTATCGGTTTAATTATTTATTAAATTTATTTTGACCGAGAATTTCGAATTTGTAAAAAGTTGTCGAAAGTTATAGCGAGTTTCACACAATGTGCGGGAATGGTATTAGACAGATGGCTACAACATTATCTAAAATTTTGAAGTTTGTTGTAATACCACCTTCACGGCTCTTAACTCTTGTGCAAAAATACTGCCGAAAATAATAACAAAATCTGTCGTCCTTTTGTTTTTTGTTTAAAACAAATTCCGAACGGTCGAGTCGAGTGTTGTTTCTGCCAACAGCGGCACTCTTTTTCTCATTTTTATCATTATAATACTTACTTTTGTGTTCAATTACATAACGAACGTAATATATGTAAAACAAACAATCTATCTAATGACACACTGGCGCCAAATACCAGATGAGAACGAACACATGTAAAAAGGTGCATAATAAAATCGGTGTTAGGAAACGGCACGGAAGGTTGTGTCAGTTTGATTTGTTAATATCCACGAATAACCTTAAGATTAAGAAGAACATAAGTTTATAAACCAGATAATCAGTATAGTATATTGATAGATTCTAAAAAGAAAAGGAGGGTCCAAGCAGGCATATTCCTAAACATTACCAGAATGTAAGAACAGTCTTTTGTTATTAAATTTAAGACAAAATCGAGTCATTAAACCAACAATTGTAAGACAAAATCAAGTCGTTGCATTCTTTTGTTCTTTGGTTTTTTTTTCAATACTAAATTAAGGATTTCATATTCATATGTTTTTGGTTTGTGAAAAGACAAATACGAAATATAGATTTACCTAATCTAATCTCAAGAATAAAATAAGATCTTCCCCGTGTGAGGCCGGGTTAAAGAATAGCCTCACCGCTAGGTCTCGGCGTGTCGTAGAAGGCGACTAACAGAGACCAATCGCTCAGGGTAAACGAGAATCGGTCACGGTAAAAACTTTAGCGTATCCGAACTTAAATAGAAACAAAACAATAAAAGGCTATCGTAGAAAACAATTGACTCCTTGCTCGCTTCAAATATTCCATCCATAACTCTATAAAATTCATAAATCACACGCCTCAAACAAATAACAAATGCTAACCATCGTTAAATTAACGACCTTCTTGGCGCCTATCCAACATTAATTTATCTGCATGCCTCTATACGTAGATAGATTTTGGCAACAATTATATTGTTTGAGTTGCACTGACAATCTGTCCGGTAAGGTTCATTTGACCTTTAACAAACAAAAATAAATTAATTAGATCAAAATCATTTCGTTATATCTTTCCGATCGGAGTGAACCAGCCAGGCTTTGCCCTGTCCTTTCTTTGCCAACATTTTTAGGTCGTCTATTGTTACTAAGCCCTAACAACACCAACGCAGTGTTCGAACTATTGTGTACTTATGTAGATTTATGTATATGCATGCGATTTAAATGTAATTAACAGGTAGTCGAATTAATATATTGCGAAAGGTCTACGGCTACGCTTTGTGAAATGTTACATTTTTAGGTATTTTCTAAATGACAGGTGACAGTTATACTTCCGACAGTTATATACGTACCTACAACAGTAAATCAAGTTGCCATTGAAATGAAAAAACATCAATTAACAAGAAGATGCCTTTTCATTCATTTGTTTTCTCGTCGTTAGATTGAAGAAAATGTAAAACAAAACATAAGAAATCATTTGTTTGTTCCATTTTTGTTTTTTCATTTTGACGTCAACTAGCAATAGCTTTTGACATGTTATACGAGATTGACATCACCAAAATCAATTTTGAAGGTCTTTTTTGTAGAAAAGTTGAATTTTATCTTAATATCTGACAGAGTGTAATTTTCTAAAGTAGTTATCGATATTGGTTCTTTGTTGTATCACGCTATCTCACTGCCTTCACGAGTTCGTTGACGACTTACGATTAGAAAATGAACAGATAAACGAAGATTATCCGGTCCATTTTTAGAATCGATATTTAAAATTAGAGATTTACTGTAATTAAATTGTTTATTAATGAAACAAGAAAACAGAACCGGTCATAGTAGGTATATATTGCATCATCTTTATCTATCTTTCAAGTCATTGATCCAATGATGACTCCAATATTTCAGAATGTAATTATATTTGGGCTATCTTGATGCGATTGCTACCGCAGTTGCCGACATTATCGGAGGAAAACCGTGAAAATTCTTCAAATCGTAAGTTTCTTTTAAAAACTTCTTCTTCGCATTTTCCACAATAGCATGTTACCGCTTGACCGGGCATGACAACGAAACCTTAAGATTGGCAAAGATCGAATGGGCAAGTGGATAAAATCTATAGTCACGTACTGTTGGCAAACTATGCAAAGTAGAAATTACGTTAGATTGCTAGGTAGATATAATAATTTCACATTTCATGCACTTTCTTGACAAAATAAAAGAAAATCTACGAATAGGAGGATTCAATACTCAAGATGAACTATAAGTGAGCGTGTAGAACCCGGAGTGAGCAAATCGTGTACATTGAAATTTTTCAATTGCTATCGCCTTATCATTCATGAGCTTGCAGAAAATTGACATTTCCATCAATTTTCGATATAGTCAGCTTAAACGTAATGGTAATTCGAAAATCTACGAATAATATGATTGAATAGTTAAGATGAACTATAAGCGAGCGTGTTTGATCTGAAAGTGAGCAAATCGTGTACATCGAAATTTTTCAATTGCTATCGCCTTATCATTCATATAAGTAAATGACATAAACTTGCGGAAAAATGACATTTCCATCAATTTTCGATATAGTCAGCTTAAACGTAATGGTAATTCGAAAATCCACGAATAATATGATTGAATAGTTAAGAACTATAAGCGAACTTGTTAGATCCGAAAGTGAGCAAATCGCGTACATCGAAGTTTTTCAATCGCTATCGCCTTTTTTTTTCATATACTAGGTAAAAGACATAAGCTTGGAGAAAATTGACATTTCCATGAATTTTCGATATAGTCAGCTTAAACGTAATGGTAATTCGAAAATCCACGAATAATATAATTGAATAATTAAAAACTATAAGCGAACGTGTTAGATCTGAAAGTGAACAAATCGTGTACATCGAAATTTTTCAATTGCTATCGCCTTTTCCTTCATATATTTAAATGACATAAACTTGCGGAAAATTGACATCAATTTTCGATATACCATTACGTTTGGTAATTCGTAAATAACGTTTTTATTAGAGATGGAATCTATTTTGACGCCCATCAGCCTTATGCGGGGAGACGACGATGTTTTAATCCCGCGAATCTCTTGATTTTGACGCGGACTAATATGAAAGTATTACAATAGAAGTGTCAAGGATAATGTTTAACATTTCTCTCGAACAAACCAACACTTTGTGTTTCAATCAGGGGCGGCTCGTGATGAAATGAATTCTATATACAAATGCTTTAATACGTACCTTCTACGAAACTATCAATTTTTTATACACGTAAAAGATGTTTCAATGGAAAACATCGAGATTGGGCTGTGTTACGATCATGAGACATTGAATTTGGTACGAAAGTCTAAAGTTGAAAAGTTTCTGATTGTTAATTGTTGAAACAAATTCTAATAACTAATTTCCTTCTATAAAATGTTTAAATCTTCAAATAGATAACATAGAACTCTATTTTACCTTGTTCACTCCTCTTATAATAGTGTGGGGTAAATTATAGACAAGAAAACAAAACAGTATCGTTTTCAAATTAGCACGACGATCTATGAAAATTGATGTTTTACACGGTTCTAATTATAATTAACGACAACCATAACATAATATAAAGTTCTTTCTTCTTTTTAATAAAATTGTTACATCGGAATGCCTGTACAGTTCGTATTACCAGGTAAATGTTCAATTTTCCAATTGGTTCAAGGTTATTACAGGCCCAGCTTTGGTATTATTGTAGAACTGCAAGCACTTGCCTGTATAATACGTGTGAATGTATATTAATAATAATAACAATAAATTACAGTAATAATAGGCACTTAATATTGTTATAGGTGTATACATTTTATTTACTCACGATTTACGTATTGTACTTATACTTGAAACAAATGAACGCCATATTTAAATGTATGTAAATG